ATGTTTTTTTAAAAATTAATTTATTTAAAAAGAAATGGAAGATAGCGGTATTGACAGTGATCCTAAAAATTTTGCCACTAAAAGCGAAGGTTCTCAATTTCAGGTAAAAAAATTAAAATTTTTTCTTATTTTAAATCAGTTTTTCCATTTATTTATTTATTTATTTTTTTTTTTAGGATAATATAAGTGATTCATCCAGTAGTAGTAACAATGTAACAGAAATATTAAAAAATAATAATACAAGACAATTGCAAAAAAAAATAGGTAAATATTATAATTAATTTTAAAAAAAAAAAAGTTAAATTAAAAAAAAATAAAAAAAATAAAAATATTTCAGAACAAAGAATTCAAGAAGCTAAAAAACATCAAAAAAATCAACAATCAGAACAAAAGAAAACAAATTCAAATTTAATTCCAATCCAGCGCCTCTCAATACCCAGTAAACCGACAACTGTTACAAAAGAACATTTGCCATTAGTCGATTGGGACACAGATGAAAGCGATGAAGACATTCATTTTTTTCCTATCAAACCTCCCATTCGACAAGAACTAACAGACACATTCAGTATTGAAGAATATCAAGTATCACCCGATGAAGATGATCTGAATTTGCTTCCTCCATTACCTACTTACCAAAGATTATCTCTTTGTTGTTTTTCTTTTAATCCTAAATGTGTTATTTTGTAATTTAAACATTATGAGCTTTAAACAATTGATGCCAAAAATTTACATAATTTAATTTCAATCTTTTTCTATTATCGATAATCTATCAAATTCAAGTATTATTATTACTTTATTTATTTTTTTACTATTATTCTATTTAAAATTGAAAAAAAAAAAACTTATCTTTAAAATTAAGAGTTTCATTTCAATAAGTAACAAAATTCATTATTTCACATATTAAACATCATTTGTTATCATTTAAAAAAGAAAAAAATTTCTTTAAAATAAAGCTTTAATGTATTGTTGCCATTTAAAAATAAATTAAAATTTTTTTTTTTTTTCTGTTTTACACTTGTTAAATATTTATACTATTATCCATAAGTTATCATTTACTTGTACGATTCAGTATTAATTATTTTTATTAAAATTTATTAATTGTATAATTAATTGCAGTTTGAATTGTAATTAAATCTGTTATCAAAGCTTTAAATTTTTTTTTTTTTTTTTTATTATAAGTTTAATTTTAAGTTTTAAAATATTGTATATTATTTATTATCTGTGTAAAATATCTTTGTAGAAATGATTGTTTTAAATAAATATTATTTATCAGCAAAAATAATAATAATTTTATCTTATTAATCACAAAAAATCCTAAATAATTAATTCATACCTGATATATATAATATAATTTTCAACAAGGGATAAAGCCTAAGTATATTATTTTTAAAAATAAAACACAAAAAATAAATAAATAAAAAATAAAATTTACCTAAAATGATAGCACAAGACAAACACGTTTTTATATATTACGCCATTTTGAATTGACATACAAATAATTTATCACGTGGTTTTGTTGTTGTTGTTGTTATTACACAAACTCATGAGTGATGAGAAAAACAAAGGGGAAAATTTTTATATTTTAATTCACAATTATCGTATAAGAAAAAAATAAAAAGGCTATTTATATAAATATATACAGAGTTATGACAGGCACAAAAAAAAAAAATTATAAATGATTTTTTAAACACAATCACAACAAACAAAACAACAAACAAAAAAAAAAAAAAAGAAATTCAAATCTACAGTAAATATTGATTATATTTATAATTTATATATATATATTTTATAACTTTACCTTAAAAATTAAAAATTATAAATAATAATAAATAAGTTTATCATTAGGAACCAGTTAATAATTACATTACAGAAGCGCAGCAGAAACTACCGACAAGATAATGCAAGCATTTTTATTATTATTATTATTATCTATCATTTCAATGATGTCGTTTTATTAATTAATTTATTTATATTTGTTCTTTTTTTTTTTTTTTAAATAAATTTTTCATTATTCATTCGTATTTTTTTTTTTTTTAATAAATTTTTCATTATTCATTCGTATTTTTTTTTTTTTAAAGTATTTTAAAATTTTCATTCGCACCATAATAATAATAAAAAAAAAAATTTATTTATTGCCTTAAAATTAATTATTATCAAATTATTGTATACGACCCGGACAAAAAAAATGATAATAATAATAATAAATTATTGCCGTTTTTAGTTAAAAACACGAAATAAAAAAAAATACAATAAAAGAATTTATTATTAAATAAATTCATTCATACAAATGAGTATTTTAATACCTTTTTTTTTTATTTACTGCATCGATCGTAGATTTTATAATTAAGGGATTAAATAAATTTAAAAAAAAAAAATAATCCACATAAATGAAAAACAAATAAAAAAACAAACAAAAAACGAAAAAAAAAACTAATAGAAAACTATGATATGAAATCCACACACTAAAACAGCATCAATAACTAAACCTAAAACTAAGTGGCAGACTTCTAGTTTTCTGGAAAGGCAGCTAATAATTTTTTATTTTTACATAATTTTTTTTTTTTATATATATATATATATATATATATATATATATATATATATATATATATATATATATATATATATATATATATATATAATTTCACTTTTTTCTTAAAAATCTATTTTTTAAATATTCAACACTTTTATATATATATATTTTTTATTTATTTATTAATCATTCACTCATTAATAATATTTTTGAGCTAAAACATAGGATGATGATAAAAAAAAAATACTAAAAGAAATAAATTAATAATTTTCACATAAAATAAATTACAATATTTTTTTCAAATAAAATATACATAGGTAATAAATAAATAAATAAATAAATAAAATTTTATTATTTGTTTTGAAAATTATTAATTTATTTCCTATAACCCCACCTTTTATTTCCTTTTTTTTTCTTAAACATAGAAAATTCAACAAGAATCATCATCTAACCAATATATATATATAATCTTTTGTATAAATTTCGTTTTTTTTTATTTATTATTATTAATTATAATATTTGAAAGCGATTAACAAAAGCTTATTAAAGATTTATAACTTTTAAATAAACTCTTAAAAATAAAAATAATTTTATAACATTTTATATATAAACTGCGCACGGTATTCATTTTTTTATTTACATGTTAATTCTAAAATTTTTTTTTACAATGAATTGTTTTTTCTATATTTAACTTTTGTATGTACGTATTCATTTAAAAAAAAACGATGTTTGTTTACATTTTCAAATTAAAAAAATTTTCCTTTTAAATATTATGTTTCTGCTTGTTGTTTAAACAAAAAAAAAAAACTT